GGGGGGGGGCGGTGGTGGGGAAGGGGAAGAATGAAGAAAAAAATGTGGGAATCAGGAGGAAGACCTAAGATGGGCAGCACAAGAGGCAGGGTGCTGCTGGATCAGTTGGAGGAGAATCGGGACATGTGAGAAGGAGGAACCGGACGACTTCCAGTTGGAAGGGGCTGGCAAATGTCAACAGCAAGAAGAGAAGGTGGGCTGTGTGAGGGGAGAAGACAGGCTGCTGATCTGTGATTAAGAGCCCAGCAGTGATTGGAGTGTGCCGCAATTTGCAGCTTCAAAAACCCTTTTAAAATGACTGTCAAGATGTTCTTTAAGTTTCAGAGTTTAGAGGAACTTCAGAACGTCTGACCGAACTCACTCATTTCGAAGCAAGCCAGACCTAGAACACAAAGCTTACATGATTCATCCAAGGCAGGCGTGCACACTGCCAACCTGAGCACCAAATCTGGCTGACAGCTTTGTTTGGTCTACATGAAGATGAAATTTTTACCTCCAACCTGTCAGGATCCTCACGGATTTTTACGGTGTAAATCTTGGTCTGTTAAGGATCACAGGTACCTGCCTGGACATTACAGGCATTTGAGTTTGCAAACTCCACTCTAAGGTTCCAAACATAATGGTGGCACCTGGGCAAAAGCAGAGGATTCCTCCCCCTCTGTCCCACTGTCTCTCTTCTCTAACTCATGGTGGCATGAATGCATTCTTACTGATGCATTTTTCTGTAGAACTTCATTGCATTTAAATCATGGCCCAGACAGTATGTTAGATGAGGGACAGGGTGGCAGGGCAGATTCCACACAAACGTGTAAAATAAAACTGGGAGTTGTCCATCAAAATGACTGCCAATAACTCAAGCGAAATTGTCACCAAGTGTCTCTACCAATTTGATCACTCCCTTGTGCCCCTCTAGCTCAGCTTTATAAACCACGGCCACAGAAGATGCCTTGCCGCCTCCAAGGGGCAAGAACAAAGAATCAAAAGAATCAAAAAGCTCTAGGAGAAGGAAAGAGTCATTTTTCTCTTCCGTAGATGAAACAGAATCCAGATTGCTTTGCCATTCGCCAGAGTCGATAGGCTGTGGGTTTATATTCAGCATTTGTCATGGCTACAGATATTACAGAACTCTCTAATGAGAGGACTTACACAATCATTTTGTTGAGAACAAAAGTGTGAAAACATGCATAATCCTCTAATTATCTAGTTTGATGGACTTTATCTCTGATGTAAACACATCTGTTTCTATACTGACAAAACAAAAATACCGTAACTTTATGTAAGTCCAGCACAGAACTTTACCTAAAATATGATTTATTTGAACAGCTGACTCAGAAAACCAATGGAAGGATGTTACACTGTGAATGAAAGAAAGATTAATGCAATGCGCCTCGATATTAAAATCAAGAGGTTGAGATTTTACTTGCTACTGGATTATTGAAGCACAGATGAGGGGTATAAAGTAAATCAGTTAAATTCTCACAGTGTAATTAGGGATTTGACACCAGATTTTAAAAACTGAAAAATTGGCTTTGATATATTTCAACAATATTTATCTTTTTCACTAAAACTTTTATCATATTTAAGAAAAGATCACTTCCAAATTAACTAATTCCTAAAAAGGAACTTTAGGCCTTGCAGAAATATTTACCACCCTTCTTCATGTCACCCCAAAATAGACTCCTTGGACATGGTGCCCAAATTTCCAAATCATAGAAATGAATTGTAATCTTTCTTATCAATAAGCTTGGAACAAACCTCTTTCTTCATATGTATAACAAAAAAGTATTCTGTGAAGGCTGTTTTACAGTGCACAAGACCTTCTGTTCACAAACTCACTTCTCAATCACTTCAACAGAGGAGTAAAAGGAAACTTTTTCCCCCCCGTAAGGAAAACTTAAGGCGTGGAACAAAATGCTCTACCGCTGAACAAACTCTGATCGATGTTATGTGGAAGGATGCTGTCTGCTTAGTCTCCAGACAGAAGACATGTTTCAGTTCTTTCTCACAAGCCTTCTCATCTGCTTAACTTCCACGGCTGGAATTGAGCATAAACTTCAGTGCACATCACGTTTGGTCTGTAGGTTTTGTTTTGGTTAAAGACTGTGTATTATAGAATTTAACATTCTCGGTTTCTCCGTAACCTCCTTCTCCTGTCTCTCTGGCTCCTGTCACATAAACCGTATATCCGATGCTAAGAGAACCCAGTGAAGCTGAGGGGAGTCAAATGTAGAGGCCACAACTGAGGTGAAATGTCAGGAAAATCGCGAGGACCCAAAAACTCAGCTGTGTTGCCGATTTCTCTCTGAAGTGCTCTGAAATGTTAGGAAATGGGCAAATCCCCCTACGCTGGCAAATATAAAAATTATTGTAACAATCTTTCAAAGTGGCTTGTGAAAGTGCTAAAAATAAATTTACTATGGTACCTATATACTGAGCTGCTAATTTTAATTTATCCAGGAAGTGTAATAAACTTAAGAAAATGTAAGAATAACGTCAATATAATTTAATTAACAGATTTAAAAGTTGTTTTCCTGATTTAAGTTATGAAAAGTGGTAAAAAAATGTTTGAAGTGACTATATTGTTGAAAGGAAGATGAAGGCTGGCATTGGAATTTTTTCTACACTCTCTGAAACAGAACAAATTTTCTACCAAATTGTACTACCTCGCCACCCTGATATCACATGCTTCTTCTTCTTCTTCTTTTTTTTTTTAAAGAATGCACGAGATAGCCAGAGCCAGGAGAGGACAGAGAGAGAGAGGAGAGAGAATCTTAAGTAGGCTTCACGCTCAGTGCTGAGTCTGACATGGGGCACAATCCTATGACCCTGAGATCATGACCTGAGCCGAAATCAAGAGTCGAATGCTCAACCAACTGAGCCACTCAAGCACCCCTCCCCACCACATGCTTCTTTTATGGCTTTTCTATTCTTCACAGGTATTATATCAGTGTATTCACAGAAATGTTTTATTTATTTATTTGTTTTATTTTTTATTATTTATTTATCTATCTTTTTTACAAGTGCTAAGAATCCACTTGAACCAAGCTTGCAAAGTGATGCTTTCATTTATCCTCGTTTCCTAGAGAAGTGATATAAACATCATAAACACATCAGACTGATAAATGAGAACGAACTGATAAATGAGAACATTTATGAACCAGATGTGCTCCAGAAAGCGAACCGTCCATCCTCACCTGTAGAAGTACGAACACCCCCTGACTGTGTTGTGAGTGAAATGTTCCTGAGTCTTCTCATTTCCAAAATCCTCCAGGGGGTCTGACCACAGGATATCACACATAGGTCCATAAGCAGGTGGTTCTTTGAATCGGTCTAACTAAGAAAAATAGAAGACAGAGAGCAAAATACTAATCTTTGGACGCTTGGAATCCAGAAAATACAAGTGTTTTTGTGGTCCCTGACTTCCTCCCCAGCACAGTGCTTGGTGAACTGCCCGCTCCCTCTCTTCCTGTTGGCTTTCCTGCCTTCCTTCCTCCCCCTCCGTCCACACTTCATCTCTCTCCAGTTTGCCCTCTTTCCTTCTAATGAGTCTGTCTGTTGGCTGCCTTAATCTCTTCATCTCCCTCTTGTCTCCTCCTTAGTTCCTACTCTTTGATCCTTTTTTCTTGTCTCCTTGTTTACTTTGTATTTTTTCTTTCCCTCTTCCTTACTTATTTGATCTGAGTATTTCAGTCACTACCAGTTGATGTGACTTCGTGTTTCATTTCTTGAGGAGGAGCTTTTATTTTGTTTTACCTTTGGGCAAATCTCTATTACTGCCTCCACTAAACAGTGATTTAGAAAGCTGGATGGAGAAAAACTTACAGTTTTTATATTTCACAACATGACTTTGAGAACAAACGGCTTTCATTTTAAGAGCAGCCACTTGTTATATGACATTCTGGACAGTCACTATTAGGGGCTATCTACGTTTCAAATTAAAGTACAAGCCAGCTGTAGTTTATCTTAGTGGGTACAAACCAAGAGGAATGATAAGCAGTAAAATAAACCCAAATTTAGCTGGTCGTTCTTTAGCTCACAGTTCCAAGCTTTATAGTTTCACCAAAACCCTCATATGAAATCCATTTTCCAGCTATAAATGTTCAGCAAGGTCATATTTCAGTTTAAAAAGGTGTATTTAGAAAGTAAGAGTAATATAATAACTGGAAATGACACCTCACCAACAATTTTAGAACACTGTCACTTTCCTGTAGTTTATTCTGATTTAACTGCAATTAGAGAATCTTTGGTGAGGTTAGCAGATATTATAGAGTCTCTTGAAAAAAAAAGCATAAAACAGCTATGAAAACCTATTAAAAACTGATATTCTTCATATTCAATATTTTAATATTTTTTCAAAAACCCACAGGGAAAGGGGAATATATAAGCTTGGCAGCCGATCACATTCTTTTTCCTGAGACATAAAAGGTGATGTAAATAATGGTTTTGCTACACACCATTTTTTACTAATACCTAAAAAGAATGAAGCAATATCTCACATTTTCAACACTCAATGAAAAACTTCAATAAGCCAAGACCCACCATATTTCAACCATTATGTTATCCATAAAATATTCATTGCAAATTTAGACTTGTTTAAGAGACTTAAATAATTTATGCTTTTGGAACAATTCATCCAAGAAAAATAACGCTTGTGAAAATACAGAATTTCTTTCTAAGAAAGAAGAACTTATTACAGGCGTAGAACAGCAAAGAAGGGGAGTCTTTCTGATTACTATGAATTCCCAGCTGAAGTTTTGATAAGGCAACCAGAATACAGAAGTTATTCTGGAAAAGTTACAGAGTGCATTCTAAAACACTAAGAATAAATAATTATAACATTAATTAAGTAAAGTTAAGTGTGGTGGAAACTGTAACTGACATAGGGCAAAAGGCAAACCTAAGAATCTTTTTATGGCTAATGTTAGAGCTTAATGATGTATATGAAAATTGAACAGAATATCTGAAATATGCCAGAAAGTAAGTTTTGGGGATAGCGGGCGATTGCTTTAAATTTTACTTAACTTATGATAAGTTTAGTTAATATCGCAAACGTCTACCATATTAAAGAACCCATGCAGAAAGTGAATTTCTCCTTGAATTTCATGACTACGATTCAGTGTCACGTCTTTATCATACTTTAAACAGAGCGCAAATACCAATGCTCTGTGTTGATTAAAAGATTGTCTCTTCCACTACATAAAAGGATCTCATATTATCTCATATTACTACATATTCTCAAGACAAAGATACTTTCATATTCAATCTAACTAATCTTTTCGCTGGCTAAAACAACATTAATAGCCAATTTCAACTAAAAAATACCTCAAAAAATCAACTTTCACCTCAATACTCAATACAACCAATGGAATATCATCATCACCTTTGTTAGGCTGTTATTTTAAAGTTTTAAGTTGCGAAAAGAGTAGATTTTCAAAAACAAATGATGATATAGACACATTTTAAAGGTCAAGTTGTGATTTTTCCCAAGAGCAAAGGAACATTTTCTAGCTATAATATACTATGAATATATAATGGGTTGCTTGAAACGAGCCAAAGGGAAATGAAAAGGCATATATATTTTTGGCAATCAAATATTATACATTTCAATGACACATCACATGGTAAAATGAACCCTGAGGTTTTTGAGATAAAAACTCTTCCAAGTGTAAATATATTTCCCTTTCTAAATAAAAGTGAGTACAAAGAAGAGATTCATGGTCACTTTAAATCACTTGAATTCGAAAGGATAAAGTTAGTGAAAACGACAGGGAAATTCAGGTCTTCTATTTCTTAATGAAGCATGCAGAATGATGAGTCTTGGAAATAACAGAACTTACTTTTCTGATATCATCTAAAGTGTTAATCTCTGGAGACAAACCGCCGTGGACACACAGGAACTGTTGGTTCATCAGGGCAGCCAGGGGCAGGCAGTCAAAGGCATCCATACAGGCATCATATACGCGTTCTGAATACTTTATTTTACCTTTTAAGACATGATTTAAAAACAAATACTTGACTCTCAGGATTTCATAGCTAGGATCATTTCACTGAAATCGTTTTTTAATGCTTCCTTCCTAGAATCATACTATGAGCATATAACTACACACCGCAAAGTTCCAAAATGTGATTAAACAAGACGTCGTGAAGACATATTATCGCAGATTTTACCCACTATGGGAAAGTGTAATGTTCCTACGAAACCTTGTGTAAGCTGAAATGGAGTAAAGCAAAGAAGCAATTATCATTAATTCATATAGAAGCATTTTTGAGCATTCCCAGGTCCAAAAAAATAACCTCTTAGGTTTTTCTGATATCTTCAGACACTACTTGTAACAGATGCACAAAATAAATGGAGATAAAGTACAGAGGCTCACAGACACAGTTCAAAGCTATGGCGGCGTGAAGGTGCGGGGCTGCGTGTAGTTCCCAGGGAAGGGGCTCGGCGGGACCACTCATTGCTCAGGGTGAGCACTGCCTCTGTTAACTGCTTGCTGCAAATTTAACATTGAACCCTATTTTTGTTTTTCACCTTTCCTCCTAAAAGCAATAATTCTCCTTGGGTTTCTTTTGGTTAGCAATAGCAAGTACTATTGTATGTCTTTCATGAAAGCAAAGTGACATAAGACACCCTTTGGAAAGGCAGAGAATACCTGTGTTAATCTTTATATCTACTGTTGTAAATTTTTGTTGTCCATCCACATTTTAAGTTTTTAGTAACTTTTTATACAGCAGAGGAGAGAACTTTTGTATACATCCTCACTGTTCATCTGCAGATGTAGCTCAAAATTACATATACAAAAACTAGGAGACCAACAGAAACGTGGCCAGAAAGCTGGTTAAGTTTTCTGAGTGATTTAGAGAAAAGGAGATGGCAAGAAATTTCCTAAAGTTGTTTATGTGTCACTGCACATTGCTTTTCCCTTGTTGACTTATGTCTAATGTTTTGAAAGAAGTCTCTGTACTCCATTGAAAATGAGCCTAAATGACAGAGAGAAATTTGTCTCACTAGACAATAGGGAAAATTAAAGACAGGAGGAAAGTAAAATTTATGCAAAGTAGTCCTCACTCCTAGTATTTATGTCTAAAGGAAGACGTCATCTTTAATTTGGTCAAATCCACTAGAGGCTAGTAAATCTATTGAGTCCAAAAAGAAGCTCAGTTGAATTTTCCCTCCATCAGTTTTTCTTGAGTGATTTGAGATGAAAGGGTAAAATTCTGTCCCCGAATTGTAGTATTCTGGCTTTTAAAAAAAAACTAAGTTAATGATTGTTTCTTAGGACAAGTCACGTCAAATATTAACTCAAAATTGTAGGTCATTTTATAGAAAATTTATAATATAAAAATAAATTCTGAGTTCTCTTCATGATCCATGCTTAGAAAGAGATACAGAGTAACATAAAATAAAATAGTGTCATTTTTTAAGTTTTTGGCTTTTAAGCAATGGATCCTATTATCATGTGCTCCCAGTGTGGGTTAAAATGACGATTTAGCACAAATGGTGTTAATGGAAGAAGCTTGAAGTATACTTACATTCTTGTTTAAATGTGAAATACTCTGTTAGATGTCTACATTCATGATTTCCACGAAGTAAAAACAGTGTTTTGGGGTAAAGAATTTTCAAGGCCCACAAATACAGCACACACTGAAAAAATAAGAATAACATAAAAATAAATATTTCCCTGTTACACTTAAGCACCCCATTGCTCACACAGCACGAAGACATGAACTGATGTGCTACTGTGACTGGAAGACCCCAAAAGGCTAGGCCTTATTAAGGAGGATATTAAAAATCAAATAGAAAACATCACTTTAGTACAAAGCCAAGGCTCATCTATACCTAAAATACATACATGCACTGGGAATCTATGTACCACAAGAAAACAATGGACTTTACAGGGTCTATTGGTAGAAGCCTGAATGAAGATATCCTAAAAATGTACCAGTGTAAAAGTATGAGAAGAAACGTAATTAGCAATCAATAAATAAAGACACCTCTCTTTATAAAAAAAAAAAAAAAATTAAATCAGGTAACAGAAATGGAAGAATTGGGAAGGAAAGGCAGGGCAAAATTTAGAACTAAACAATATCAGGTTCAGGTTGATTGGGATTGGGTCTCCACTTTCAATTATGTTCTCTTCTTCACTAGCCTTCTTCTCCCTTATCACCTTGTCTTTTATTTCAGTGCCTTTGGTATACAAAGCCTTAAGTTTTTGGTTTGTTTGTTTGTTTGTTTGTTTTGTATGTAAATATAATTAAACTGAAGGCCAGGGAATCTCACTACACATGCTGCTAATAACTACGGGAAACATTTCACATACCTTACAACTTTCAAATTAGTTACTTGGGTATTGCAGTTTGTGTAAAAATAAAGGTCTACTTTGAATTCACCAGGTTTGGAATAAACCAACATTGACATAGTCATCCTGAAGTGTGCATTAAGATAATTGAGATACTCAAGTACTAACATCAATTTCATTATCCTCCACTGGCATTCATCAAGAACCCACAGGGAACAGAAAACCACTCTTCAAAAACAAGTATGCTTTTTTATCCTCATTAAGTTTATGTTCTAAAAGTGAGTCAAAAAGATACAAAACCACAAAAATATGGAGGCAAGTCTGAGTCTGATTAGTTAAGTCTGAAACCAAAAAACATACAGTATTTTCCTTTTTATAAAGAGCTTTCCAACATATAGTAAATATGCCAGAGTATGTCCACTGGGAAAAGCTACTGGTGATTCATTTGTTGTGATACCTGTGAAGAACAATCACCTCTGTCAGCTTATATGATGATTTATTAAATGAATGGAAATAATTACGTTTGAATATACAGCCCAAGTCTTGGAGAAAATACTAATTATCAAAGCAAGTATATATTAGTGTGTTTTTCAAGATATTGTTTCCAACTGTGTAATTATGATTGAAGTAAACAAAAATGAGTTGACATCAAATTTTATGTATATGATACCTTAATTAATTTTCTAATTATCATTTTCTAATTATAGCTACTAGCTGAAGTTCACATGACAAACGATATTGCTATTTCTGAACAGCTGACCAGATGGTCTCTACAAGTGATCCTTAAGTCATGATGGTCTGTCGATGGTACATATTCTCTGTTATCCTCAGTGAGCAGTATGGTGGTTCAATGAGGCTCTGATCGCTGTGTGTCTGGCTGTAGAGGTACACGTACATGCTTTTATAAAAGGAGTTTGTATTACTCGAACTTGTCTCACATTTCAGAGAAGATATTTATAAACCATTATTAATGTCAATGAGATAACTATTCCTAATTTAAACTTCATAAAGTTGAACCTTAATATTAAAGAAATACACACACACACACACACACACACACACACTTTCATACTGGTTATTAACTTTGGATTTCTAGTTTGGAATAGGATGGGAACGTAAAGTCTTTTGCAAATTATATTTACTTATTAAAATTGTTGTATCTAATGTATTATATTTACATACTGAGAAAGAGCATATGTTTTGGCCATACGACAGCCACTTTTAGAAAAGATTTTCTTGCTGTTATTGTTGTTTTTACTAAAGTATAACTTATATGCAGTGAAGTGCACATATTTTAAATATACCAGTCAATGGGTTTTTATATATGTAAACTCTTATGAAACTACTAACCAAATCCAGTTACATTTCAGCACACAGAAGGCTCCCTTGGGCCTCCTCCTAGTCAATATCCTTTTGGAAATGGAACCACAACAGTGAACTCTTCAGATTAGCTTTGCCTGTGAGAATCCTAAAGCAAAGCTATTCTTTTTCCAACTAAAATCTAAAACACAATTTTCTAACCCCAGTCAAGTGCTAGAGGAATCACATTTGAGGACCCACGTTTTCTCCTCTGCCGACTATTAAAAATCTCATTCCGAAACTAGTGCACAGCTTTATTGACTCTAGTTTTAATTCCTGTAGCTTTTTCATAACTGAAACCTCAGAGAACCATACGGGAATATTTAATGATATATTTATCATACTTATTTACCTTTTCAGTGATTCAATCCACATTTAAAATGTCTTATTATTTAATGGATATAAAGCACTTAGTATACAGTAGGAGTTTAAGAAATACTAGTTCCTTTCCTATAAAAGAGAAGGAAGACAGGAACACAGAAGGGAGGGAAGGAGGGAAGAAAAGAAAGGAAAGGAAAAAAGAGAAAAGAAAGGGAGAAAGAAAAAGAAAGAGAGAAAGAAAACATAACTCAATTTCTAAATTCTTGGCTCAACATACCCTAACAATAAGAATCCTGTTTTCACATTTTATGTGCTTCTCCCCTGTGGCAAGAATAAAATATCTTCTCAAACGCTGAATAAAACCACAAATGCAGCCAATATGGAAGAAGTGGCATGGTAAATGAAAGGGCAAGAGTGGATTGGAGAGTGGAGCCCTGCCAGCCTTCGCCCTCAACATCTGGTGGGAGAGCACTGCCAAGCACAACACTGTCTTGCTGGCCACCATTCTACCATCTAAACGTTCTGGAGACCTGTCGATCTTCAGCAAAATCATAACCTGACATGATTTTTAAAAGGGAAAAGCTCTTTAACAAAAAATGATCACAATTGGCGTGCCGGGGTGGCTCAGTCGGTTAAGCCTCGGACTGCGGCTCAGGTCATGAGCTCATGGTCCGTGGCTTGAGCCCCTTGTCGGGCTCTGCGCTCTTACAGTGCAGAGCCAACTTGGGATTCTCTCTCTCTCTCTCTCTCCCTCTCTCTCCGCCCCTCCTAACTCCCACTTTCTCTCTCTCAAAATAAATACATAAACTTAAAAAAAAATTATCACAACCAAAAAGCAAATGAAACGCAAATTTGTTAAATAATTGGTTATTTTCATATAGGTGGTATGAGGTGGCAAATTTGAATAAGATTTTCGCTGAAGTAATCGGTTACGGTGGAAACAGAGATGCAAGTTACACTGGCCTTTCCTCATTGTGACATGTAAATTCATTGCACTAATAACTCGCAAGTGGACCTTCACTGTCTTTCCAGTGCTACCCCGAGCAATTAAACAAATATTTACAATTAGCTTTTAAATTTAGCTTTAAATACTTAAAACTTTAAAAACTTAAAATTAGCTTTTAAAAACGAAACACTGAGCCTCCTCTATATTTTTATTCATTTCCATCACAGACCTGGTTTTCACCTGTTTAACTTATCCACTTTCCCAATGCACCAGCGCTAAGGATATCATTGTGCTAAGAATATCATTTTTTTCATTAGTTTCACTGGTTCACTGATAACAGCAGTGCAATGATTTATTCTGTATAGTATGCCTTTTTTTTTAATGATGGGTCTTCTTGAAAACTGGCACAGGGAAGTCGAGAAAGAGGGAAAAGAGGGAGGAAGCGAAAAAGAAAATATGCGGCTCCAGATCTCTATCAACCAGCCTTCGAAAAGAACTACCCGAGCTGGGTTACGCACCAATCAGAAGGGATGTCTCTCAGTCACAGGACAATGAAGCGAAGGATGTATATTGGTTGGGAGAAGATCCAAACTCCCGGAATGTCAAACGCACCGCCTCTCAGGCATTCTTTGCCTCCTCTGACAAGCATGCAGAGAAGCAGCAAAGTAATAGCAATGCACTACAAAGGCCATCGTGGCAGGGAGACAGCAGACAATTCCTTCCTCATGTCTGTGGCATCATTCTGTCACCTGACATCCCTTGCTGTCCCGTTCGCTTGTTATTCTCAGGCAGAAGCACAGAACATTGCCTGCCTTGCTGTGGTTCATTTAAGCCTGGGAGTTCATAGCGAATAAACACAACAGCTCTTCACGCTTACATGTGTTTGAGGCCCGGGCTGAGACCTGGATGTAAGTACAGCGGGAGGGGCTAGCCCACTACAGAGCCCACTGCCAGGCCGTGCAGTGCAGAATGGCGAGAGCGGGAACCTGAGGAAGCGACTAGAAGAAAACAGCTGTGCGTGCCTCCGTTTGCAGTTCTGAGTTTTTCTCTGCATTCTCAGACGCACGCACTCAGACGTGGACCTCCGTATGCACGTATGCCTGATCAGAGAGGTGCGGGAGCATATTGCAATCACCACACAGAGGATGATGTTTGGTAGGGGACGAATTATTACCCCAAATAAAATGATCTCTTTCATCACTACTCAAAAACACGCTTGTTTTATTTGGGCTAACTTTGTGGGGAACGATTTCTAATCTTGGCAGAAAGAGAAGGTGGTGGGAAGGGATGGGGAGGGGTGCAGAAAATGAACTCCATGTACTGCCCACAGCTTATTACCTAGTACCTGAAAATACTACCCGGCAGAGACTGTATGAAATCCGAACCCCCTCTTCAAAGGTGATTTGGTAAGATTAAACATAAGTGGCTCCTCTTTGCCTGGAGGACAGTCAAAAAGAATACCTGCAGGGGAGTCCTGAATTATTGAGATGCATCAAGAACCTTTTGAAAGCTGTTAGGATAGTACGCGCTGGAAAACTGAGCTCTTGTAGGAATTTTCTTAAACCAGCAGTGTCGTGCTCAAAGAGAGTATTTTATAATCAATGATGTGACCTTCAGATTTTAGAGGTGGGGGAGAGGGTTGTGTGTTCACGCTTGTACATGTATGAGCGAATAAGAAAGTCTGTATCAGTGTCTGCATTACTGTGGTTTGCTTAGCGGATATATGGCCAAGGCATGGGGTGTAGTGGAAAGAGCACAAATTTCTTTTTTTTTTTTTTTAATGTTTATTTGTTCTTGAGAGAGACAGAGAGAGAGAGGGCATGAGGGAGGGAGGGGCAGAGCGAGAGAGGGAGACATAGAATCGGAAGTAGGCTCTAGGCTCTGAGCTGTCAGCACAGAGCCTGATGCGGGGCTCGAACTCACAAGCTGTGAGATCATGACCTGGCCGAAGTCAGATGCCTCACCGATCGAGCCACCCAGATGCCCCGAAAGAGCACAGATTTCTAACCCCAGCACTGTCATTTACTGTGTGTGACTCTCTCTGAGCTTTGGTTTTCACATACACAAGAGGAAGACATTTACATGCTCCTTGCAGAGCGGTGAGGAATAAATGAGATCACGTATATCGGGCAAACAATAGCATTTCAGCATGCAAATAATGTCAGCTTCCTTAATCCACAGTTAAGAACCCCAAAGGGTTCTCAGTAAACACATTTTATAGAAATGTCTGTTCTATTTTAAATGTGGTGATATCACTGAGCCATCCCCCAAACCCCTCAAAGGTCACAGTCTAATAAAAACGGATCATTTTCATAGATGAGGCCTTCAGATTTTTGGTATTTCTGTATGCCTGTGGCAAGTCCCTGGAGCTGTACTCTAAGACACTTAGAGTTTAATTAAAGAGCTGTTTATGAAGCCAGGAACTCTGGTATATGGATCTTAGAACTTTCAAATGACCTGATACTTACTTACATTTGCTATGCCACCAACATCTGGATTGATACTTTGATCCTTTGCTTGAATTTCAGAAGGTGCATATTATACAACTTTCATAGTTCAAATATCTAGATTAACTGTAGACTAAAAAGAAATCTGATGAAGAGCAAGCTAGTGATTACTGCTTCTCAAGTTCTTTAATTTAAAGAAGCAGAGTTCTAAGTAGCTCTAATTAGGGAGAGTTTAGGAAATTTCAAGTAATTTGAGGCCAGAGATACAGAAGCCTGAACTCGTTGAGTAAAAATTCAAAGGTAAATACACACCAACGAGATTAAGAAATAATATTATCTGAAGATGGAGTTGGTGAGACAAAGAAGGAGAAGCCCAAACACGCCAACTGTTACTTAAGCAACATACGCTGTAGTGCTTTCTCTCTATTAGTAAGGGAACAGGACACAGTGTTAGTTCTGTGATTAAATTTTAGAAGATGACAAATTAAGTCGTTAAAAATCACAAATATTATGATATTAAAACAGTTTGTCCAACATAGCACTCCATCATTTGGCCAATAAAAATACATCACTCCCAACAGGACGGACTTGAGCTTTCCCTAAGAAGATGAGCTTCAAGGAAGGTAGAACACCTATTCCATTCATCCTCAGAATCTTACATAGGAGCACTTTACATATTAAATGAGTAAAATGAATTTAAGAGTCACTCAAATAATTTTTTGAAGCCTCTAAAGGCTTTCACACAATCACAATTTAAGCGAAGTAGAAGAAACATTTTACCTCCCATATCTGTTTTCTGCCTATCGCAGTTTTTCTCAAACTTGGCTCCATATTGAAATCACCTATGGCCATGTAACAAATCTGGGCCCATGGGATGCAAGTCGAAGTAATTGTGCCACTTTTGGGAAACATCCTTAGATAACAAGACATGCCCTTCTCTTTTTCCTTTTCCTTCTGGCTGAATGTAACATGGCAGATGATGGTTGAAGCTGGTGTAGCTGTCTTGGGTGACAAGATAGCCTTTGGAATGAGCCCAGGCACCCCACACCCATCAGAGCAATGAGGCAGAAGGAACCTGGGCCCTGGCACCATGCTGGGTCACACCAGTTGGGTATTCCCATCTGTGGGCTTTTAATGGAGAGAGAAATAATCTTGTTCAAGCCACCGTTTTGTAGGTTTGCCGTTGTTGTTTTCTCTTGGAAGATACCAGCCCTAATGTGATAGGAAAGTCTCACAAAATTTATATTCAATCACCCTTCCCTAACAAGTTGGTCAAGTTAGCCCATGAATGAGATTTACGAAGTTGACTAATTTCTTCCCCTGGACTTTTCTTGCTTCAATTTCCTTCCTAGTTAATCTGACTTCTTTGATTCAGTCTTCCCCAGTCATGTCTACTTACAAAATTGTCCCACTTTTCTAAATTCCAATGACAATCATTTTCTGTGCTTCTTTTATCCCAATATTTAAATAATCAATTCAAATAATGGAATCCTGGATAACTGCCTCTTCTAGGCTTCTGATGCTATGTAGCTTTTTATAGCTCTATTTTCCTAATAGATTTAGGTTTCTAGAGAGTAAGGATATGCAGTTCTTTAAATTCTCCATAGTTCTGATTATAGTGCATAAACATTTTATGTTCAATAATACCATACTTGTTTACCAAGTGGAAGAAATACCAAAAATTTACTTTCTCCTTTTGGATTTATATACCCAAACCATCCCTTCTTCCCTCATCATCATGAATAATTAAGAAATGTATGATCGTGGGGCGCCTGGGTGGCGCAGTCGGTTAAGCGTCCGACTTCAGCCAGGTCACGATCTCGCGGTCCGTGAGTTCGAGCCCCACGTCAGGCTCTGGGCTGATGGCTCAGAGCCTGGAGCCTGGTTCCGATTCTGTGTCTCCCTCTCTCTCTGCCCCTCCCCCGTTCATGCTCTGTCTCTCTCTGTCCCAAAAATAAATAAACGTTGAAAAAAAAATTTTTTAAAAAAGAAATGTATGATCCTTCAATACAGAAAGGGTGAATATATTGGTGAAAAGATGATATATACTTTTATAATATATATAGACAATGACTATAGTTTCTCTCTCTGCATATATAGACTCAACAACTGAAGGTAAATCGAATAATCAAAACATAAAATTTGTATGACAGTCTTAAAAACAAAAGCTGTTTAAGAGTGATGTGTTCTTTGACATTAAATATTTCGATAGTAGGGGCACCTGGATGGCTAAGTCAGTTAAGCCTCTGACTTTGGCTCAGGTCCATGAGTTCAAGCCCTGCGTCAGGCTCTGTGCTGACAGCTCAGAGTCTGGACCCTGCTTCAGATTCTGTGTCTCCCTCTCTTTGCCCTTCCTCTGCTCTCTGTCTGTCTCTCTCTCTCAAAAATAAATAACCACTAAAAAAATTAAAATATATTCTTATAGTAAATACAGTATTATGAAGACAATTTAAAAACCTAGAATGAATCTTCTTTTATATGATTATTATGAATTCATGATGTTGATGTGAGACTTCTATAAAGTTGATTTCTCTCTGCATTAAGAATAATTGCTTTCCTTTTAAACATTGTTTCCTTATTTTTTTTTCTGAGAGCACATATAATGTCAGGTACTACTATCTCATGAGCTCTGCTTCTTAACATTCATCCTTATTTCAAATCATTTATTGTAATGAATATTTGATGAACCCTTTCTCTGTTTGAGACACCATATTAAGCACCAGGAAAAACAAACAAGTGAATAAAGCCAGGTTGTTGCCTGTATTTGGAATGTAATTTCTACTTACCCGAAGCAGATGCAGGAGGGAGGCTGAGGAAGAACCTCTACTCAAAAGTTACCTGTTTTGTTCTAATTAATGAGTTTAATAAATTACCCTCGTTGGATGACAGATGCCAAAAAAGACAAAATACAGGGCTGGGAGTGTATTCACGCCTACTCACATTAACGGACACAGAGACACATGCACCTGGCTATCAATTTACAAAGGTAAGCTACTGCTCACAATTTATAAGGCATAACCAGGAAACACATTCCTGCTTCTTTAATCAACTTTGATTAGTTCTGTCAATAGGAAATAGAATTATCTAATGTAAAATGTGATGTAATTGTTGCAAATATATAAAAGCATATATATAATAAAAGGTGTACACACACACACACACACACACACACACACACATATAAAATACGTATCTCTATGCACTAAAAAGCATATGGGAATCAACAGAAAATAGAATATGTAAATATCCCAAGAATTGAGGGTATTAAAGTTCTATCATAGACCAATAATTTTCTTAAACAAATAACATTTACCACTTTTAGTTTGCTAAGATATTGTTGATCCATTTCTGAATAGCTACAAAGAAATGATATAGACTTACTTCGATACTGAAGTACCCTCTGTCAACATAGTCCCCTAAGAAGAGGTAGCGAGTGTTGGCAGGAGATCCCCCCACTTCAAAAAGCTTCATCAAATCAAAGAATTGTCCATGGATGTCCCCACAAACTGAAAGAAACAAAGCAAATTCATTTTATGGTCACATTATGATTCGGGACGAGATTTGAAAAATTACAAAATGTGACAGTCAGAAGGAAAATAGAGCGCATCTTTGCGGAAACCTTCTTTTGCAAAACAGGAAGGCGAGACACAGATTGCAAAGTTAATTAGTGGCAGACCCGGTTCCAGCATCCAGGTCTAGCAATTCACAGATTAACTGCCAAAATGAAGATAATAACAAAAGTGACAAGTAGGCTTATGCAGTCAAGGATGCTGCACCACACACTGTGCTAAGAGTTCATGCACATTTTCTAATTTAACACTAAGATTGTCATGGGGGAAGTTCTCCCTTTTGCAGATAAGAGACAAGGCACAGAGAGGTTTGGTATTATCTCTATAAAACTGAGGTCTGAATCGCTACATGTCATTACCTTCTGAAGAAAAAGAAAGTTGATATGTATCATAAAAACTGCACTTCACTGAATCTAAACTGGCATCAATTATAACCCCATTAATTTATGTACCACTACGAAAGAAAAAAAAAACCCTCCCATTTAAATTTAAATTATAAAAGAATATTTTGTTTGTAAGACGTACTCTGATGTCAAATGTTAAAGTGAAAAAACTTGGAAAAAGGAAAAAACACTGTAAAATAGTACAAAAAACACTGGGAAATAATATTTAACTTTCTCACATTTTCCTTTAAACCAAATTTCTTGAAGGAGCTATGTAGTCTCTCATTTTAAAAACCACTTACTTACTCATTACTCAGTATTTCACTTACTACTTTCAAAGCCCTAAAAAGTAAATATTATCCCCATTATACAGATGAGGAAACAGTGTGGCTAAGAGAGGTTATGTGGTTAAGCAAGATCACTATTACATATGGATGATTCAGGGTTTAAAAGTCTGGATCTGCCTAATTCAAAGCTTTTGCTGTCAATCTTCATGTTATAATATCGTTGATATTTTATGTATTTATACATGTATATATTTAATTTTTTACAATTTTATGCTCAAATGATGAACATGATGTAGTTATTTCTCAAACACGAAGAAGTTCACAGAATGAATATATCAGCAAACAGGAAATCAGGAGCATGCTATCTTAACCCATTCTATGCTGCAATCAATTTAAGATAAAAACATTTTAGTCTATCACCATCCCACCCCCCGCCTCTTGTTCACTAGATGTGGGTCTTCGCTATCTTGAATAGTCCAAGTTTCTTTCTTCCTTGGATTTCCACAGGCTGACTCTTTTTCATCCACCAGTCACGGGTACAAGGGGGTCTTTCTTGAACTAAATGAGTTGCCTCTGTCCAAAATCATTCTTCACCCCATTAAGTTGTTTGGCTTTCTTCACAATACTTCTCACTATCAGGAATTATCTAGTTATTAATTTGCCTGCTGTTTCTTCCCTTACCTTTCTCATTGGAATATAACCTCTGTAAGGTTGTATAACTTGCCAATCTTGGTCACTGTATCCGCAGTGCTGAGAACAGCACCTCCCACCTGGTAGGCACACAAGAAACACGTGCCACCTCAGGATTCTTCCATTGGGCCTACTCTGTGCTAAATTTGGAAACCCATTAACTAAGAAGTCAGAGATTAAAAAAAAAAAATTAATGTTTATTTATTTTTTGAGAAAGAGAGAGGGAGACAGAGGGCAAGCAGGGGAGGGGCAGAGAGACAGGGAGACACAGAATCTGAAGCAGGCTCCAGGCCCTGAGATGTCTGCACAGAGCCCGATGCGGGGCTCAAACCCATGAACCGGGAGATCATGACCTGAGCTGAAGTTGGATGCTTAACCAACTGAGCCACCCAGGCGCCCCAAGGAGTCAGACATTTTGAGGTGCCCTTGGGATTGACAGGACTGAATGACAGGTTTGCAGAGTGTGCTCTGGTGCAAGCCAAAAGCTTTCAACTTGTCTGAGATGCTTGTTTTAAGCCTTTTAAGTCACAGCTTTCAAACCAGTGTGCAGCGAGACTGGAGTAGAATGTGGGACCTCCACGCATCCGATGGTGGTTTCCTTACCTGGTTCTACATCAGAAACACATGGGAGGTTTGGAAACTACAGATTCCTGGGCCATGAATAAAAATCTCCAGAGATGCATATTTAGAACCAGCTCTTAGATGAGTTTTATCTAGTCAGTAAGACTAAAGAGAGTTACACTTTTGAGCCTTTGTGGGCACACTCAGCCCTCATTCTGCACGTTTGTGTGGTTCCCCTCACAGCGATTATATGTAGGGGAGATACCTATTTGACAGGTAACTTCTTTCAATGCTAATTCCATGTCGGTGTTAGAGTAGGATTTCCTATGACATGAAAGGATAATATTGAAAGGAGTATTTGATCGAGCCTAGGAGAAAGATGAATCTGAGAAAAGTGATAACAAAGAGCAAAATTCCTTTGGGCTTCTGAATGTATCTATTCCTTGTACCTTGTGCATTTCAGTTTTAAGATAAAAGATTTATCCTGAAATCCTAACAGCTGGGGACATTCACTATTTTGATACCAAATTTCAGGATGAAACTGATGACCACATTTAGGTACCCAAGAGGATATCAGGTGGCGTCGCACAGAGGGAAGGTTACCTCTACGTGACAGTAAGAGAAAGGTATAGCCAGGTAGTTTCCTCTATATGATGCTGTGGCCCCCACCTACCATCCTCTCGCGTACCCGAGACACTGGTGTCAGTATAGAAAATGCCAGCTAATGAGGCAAGCTGTCTTGCTTGCTCACATTGTCCAATTCTCCAGGTGGCTGGGCCCTTTCATCTCCACTCTCACTTGGTTTTAATAGTACTTCTAAAAAACAGCCAGGCTTTGACAAGTTCTGTTATACCTTCACGGCAAGCTTATTCTTCATCAACATAGCCCTATTTCCTGCAATCCCCTAGCTTCCCATTATTTTCTTGTCATTCCCAATGGAACACTGCTGGCAGACAGAGTACTCAACTAGGGGCCAGCACTGAAAGGCCTATCATACTGAAAAGGCTCCAAAAACATAGAAACGCAATACAGGTAATAAAATTATTCCTACTTGGGGGCACCTGGAAGCTCAATTGGTTAAGCCTCTGACTCATGATTTCAGTCCAGCTCATGATCTCATGGTTCATGGGTTTGAGCCCCACACCCGGCTCTGTGCTGGCAGTGCAGAATCTGCTTGGGATTCTCTCTCTCTCTCTCTCTCTCTCTCTCTCTCTCTTTATCTCTCTCTCCCCCCCCTTTATCTCTCTTAAAATAAACTTAAAAAAATTAAAAATTTTCAAAGCATTCCTATGTCCATGAAAATATCCATTCATCTGGCTAAACATTCCCCCAAATATATATTATATCTTCAATAGATTATTCAGACAACTGCACATATTTCCATCAGCAATGCATAGAATTATGGAATTAATAAAATGAGCACATCAAAGATAATGAAATAAAACATAAAGTTTTTTTTTTTTTAATTTCACTTGGATACCCTTATCCAAGAGTAACCTGATGTGCCACAACATGATGCCTGTTTTTTTCCTATAAGCTATAGGTCTACATTTGTTTTTATACTGGAGAGGCAAGAACTCTATTAGTTTATACAGCGCAGGTATACTAAGCAGTTAAAGCTATTTGGTGACCTTCTTGGTTCTTTTCCCTAAGCGGGGTTGACTGCGTGATTTTGCAAGTGGCTACTCTAACATTCTCAGTACAACTAAATGGTGGAAGAGTGACCAACATCCTGTGATGCTTCCATATTTATTACTTTTTGCTCTTCTACTATCAGGAAACACATAAATTATGCCTAAATAACCAAGCACTAAGTAATACTTCAGCAAACAATTACTGTTAAGTAATTGCCTTTTACTGTTGCTTCCCTGCCCACGATAACTCTCAGCGCACTGAAAATAAAACTTTACTGGAAATGATTCTCACACCCGAGTGGTACCAACTTCTTATCTAAGTCTTCTGAAGGGGAGTACAGCATTTTGAAGTATAAAACAGAGAATAACATACAGAGAGGATCTGTCTTTATCGCTTAAGGAAGGGAATAGCTTTTATTCTTAATATCATTTCTGGAGAGCTAGTTGTGAAGCTTTGAAATCAAAGGCTTGAAAGTTCAAGTATATATAAATATAAGTAAATAAATATAAATATAAATATAAATATAAATATAAATATAAATATGTATGTGTAGATGCATGTGCATGTGCACACGTGTAAAACTACCCACCACAAAGGAGGAATTATTTGGAGATGAGTGGTCAGCGTAGCAGTTAAGGAGTCATTTAACAAGTGCAAGACCTTACTCACTTTATAGGACAGCAAAGTAGTGCTACAGAGAAAGTACAATAAACAACTGGGGCAGTGACAAGAGACTCTTTGTAGTTAGCTGAGTAAATTCTTGTAATCTAAAAGCTGGACAATGAATCAGTCACAGGGCAAGTCTAAGAGTCCCTAAAACCAGCACACTGGTAAGTAGAGAAGATAATGGCCAGCATATTAAGGACAAACAGGCTCTTGAGGAAATAATCTCAGGCAGAGGAGAGAGGGAGATCATCATGACCAGGGACTGAGGCCTTGCATTTCCTGCCTAGAGATATGCTGGAAACTGTATTTAGAAAGGATAGATGTTCGGTACAAAAACCATGTGTCTATTCTATGTATAATTAGGTATGCACGCCATAATTAAATTAGTGAATCAGCAAATAAGTATGTCCATATTATAATTTAATTATTTTTTCAAAGAATTCCACAGTTTCTAAGTTCACATTGGCAATTAAATTACTACATTAAAAAATGTAAACAGTAGACAGTACTGAACACACCAGGATGAGGTCCCAGTATAATTGCTATACAACTGACAGTTTGAAAAGGACTCTGACAAAACTGTCATCCTGAGTAGGAGTCATATTGGCAAATATAATATAAAATATACACTTTCATGTAAAGCTACTTAAAATAGTTTTTTTATTTTTTTTAAAAATTAATGTTTATTTTTGAAATAGGGAGAGAGAGAGAGTGT